TACTTCATTCATACGCAGGAAAAGAATTCAGTGCAAATTACGTTATATGTATGTTGGTGGCTGTGAAAATATTTTGTCTGTTGTTTCTAGGTTGCACCATGCTGGTATTAGGTACTTATGACTACAACAAAGCTTAATTAAAATAATTTAATATCTTTTCAGTAACTTACATCTCCTATTTGCAAGATATGATCCCCAGACTTCAGGCGGCCATCTCTATCAGCGACACCTCCCGCCAATATTGTCTTGACAATCACTCCACTCGTTCGAGCACCAATGATGCCTAAAATTTACAAAACTATAGTTACCTAGATAAAATATTAGCCCCATACATTTTTTTACTAATGACTACAAAATCAAATAGACAAATTCTGTAACACCCTATTTCTGAAAGGCTTGTCAAAGCTAAAATTAACTAATCTCCTGTTAAATCTCTTGTCAAGTCATCTGATTGGTTGTTGATAATTCAGTCAACCAATCAGATGACTTGACAAGAGATTAAATTGATTTTAACATTGATCGGCCTTTCGAAAACCGGGTGTAAGTAATTTTAAATGTTAAAAGTATTTGTTTTTTTCGCCCCTCATGTCTCAACAGCATGAAGTTTCTTGATGATTCTTTTCCATTGATCCATTAACATTCATTAAACTCTGTAATTTTTTTCTTTTAAAGTAGAAAATGCTAGCCATTTAATAATTTTAAATAACATAAAAATATACACTATGATAGCCACATATTTTTTCTAAATACCACGCGAACGAAATTGAATATTGAAACTAGTAGAATATAAATCAGAACCTATTTGCCAGTTAATAGGAGCTGAGCCAGAGCTTAAGAAATATTAGCTTTAGTATTTTTAACTTTGCCAAAATAAGAACATTTAAATTAGGTAAAACTATTTTGATTAGGATTGAGAGAGCGCTTTGTCATTATTGAGTGTACAAATACCATATTATCGTGTATTCATGCGAGATTTTATGTTTTTTTTTCAGCAGACGGGTCAACTGACAATAAGAAAACGATATCGGCCTTTTAAAGTTTTATATCAGCCCATTCGTACATATGCGAAAAACATGGTAAATGTTAGCATCCAATGTTTTAAATTACCATATTCCAAACACGGTTCGAACTTAAAAGAATCCATAACAGTAGGTAATACTGATCATCCTGGAAATCAAATACAATCTTTTTTTTTCTTGCGACGACATTTATCAAAGACCCAGTTGTAAAATAATTGCATTATAACACAAGCACATTACAAAACCTTGAAGTCTTGTGAATATTTTTTGTGATTCAATACTAATTGACAATGAAAATGTTCATGAACAAATGACATTCACTTCAATCACGGCTTTAACTCCCCAAAGGAGTAAGTATTACTTAATACTGCATGTTACCCGCTTTACGATATTTTTGTGTTTTGTATTTTGTAAAAAGATAAAGTTCCCAGTACTAAGGGCTGAACCTACTGGTTCAAACAATTTTTTTACATGTATGCATTAAAAAAACTTAGGAAAAAAGTATAAAAAACAAATAATTACCGAATCCTAACCCAGTGCCATCATTAACCAAGTTAATGATCTCGACCTGAGCCCAGTCACTGCCAACAATACTATGAGACATAGAGCCGAGGGACTCATCAGTTCTTGACAAGTCCAACAGACCACGATTCTGAAAAATATTAATAAAATAAACGACTTTTAAAAACATTACAATAAGCCACGCATTCATTTTCCGAAGAATAAGGCAAGAGCATAAATTAAACATAAATACAATAGTATGAAACAAGGTAGTTTTTTTATATGTTTTCAAATTATGCAATGGATTTTAATTCGGTTTTTTAATAGATATAATGATTGAACAAGAAAGTGTATAAGTATAATAACATCCATTAAATGGCGGAGGAATTTAGTAGCAGCATTGCACATGTTGGAGCTGGAGCAGGTCAAGTAAAAAATAATACCCAGGTTCCACCAAGTTATGTGTATCATAAAAAAGGGTTACTTAATTGTTATTAACTATTATAAACTCCTTACCTACATATATGGAAAACTTCTAATACAATGGTGGAAGAACTACAAGCTCTGGATATTTTTTTAAGAAACATGTATGCAACTTGGCACATAGTTTATTTCAACACACAATCCCATATAAAATGTCATTATGTGGCAAACTACTATTTTGTCAATTTGAAAAAGTATTAAATATGACCAGTTTTTGTTAACCTAATTGTGGACATTAAATATGGCATGCTTACCTGTTTTGGAGACATGTTTGAATCTACAGATCCACTGTCCAGACCAAGAATACGCTCATTATCAGACCCAGAGCCGAATTCAAGACTATGTGGTGGTGATACTTGGGGCACACGCTGCTCCTCCTCCCCCTCATGACTTCCATACAAATTCCTTGCTTGTAGAGCAAGATCACCTAAAATATGATATCTTGGACTTTAAGGTTCTCTTCTCTTCTTTTAGGTTCATATAAGTATCATTATAAATATCATTGTCTGGCTATTTTGACAGTGTTTTAGAACAGTTATCGTAAATAAAGTTTTGAAAAAAAAACCAAATAGTACTTCTGATTATTAGACAGAGCTTAAGTAATTTCTGTGTTACTTCAAAATCACATAGTATTACCTGCTGGAGTGATATCGAAGTCCCCTGGAATTATAGATGGGTGATGTGCAACTTGTGTAGCAAGCATTCCTACTGAGTCATGTAGAGTCGCTATACTCTTCAGTATAGGACTTTCTAACAAGTTTATTAGCATATTCAAGTCATCATTGGTGGCAGCCTGTTTACATAAAAAATAAATAAATTTAAGTTTTAGTTGTCAAAAAACTATGTCACAATATAGAATTTACTATATTATTAATTACCTTAATCAATGGTTAATTGCCAGGTGTATTATTGTACAAGGAGAAATCTATACATATAAAAATCAATGCCACTTTTCATTGTCATATTATAACTCAACAATGCCTTTACCGATTAGACCACTGAGTAACTTAGACTAATAAACCTTATAATATAGAAGTACAAACATATAATACATGGTTTTGATTGGCACAATGAAATTATAAAACTACAAGCCTGATAGTTTTTAAAAAAAATTACGACTAATAAAGCAGTGTAATGTTTTTCAATACAATATCTTACCTTCAACTTAGGATCATCACTTTGATCAACAGCTGCTTTAACACTTTCTAATTGTTGTAATGCGTTTGATATATTCACTCCTAGATGCATGCTGAAACAATATTAATATTTACAAAATTATTAAATACACCTGTTAAACAAACTAAAACAAAAATACCAATATCATACTTGGAAAGTTTATGTTAATTTTAATCTTGAGAATCACTATAAATATTTCTTTGATTAGTCACACAAATTTAAGGCTCTCGGCGATTTACTATGGGAGTTAACTGAAATGTTTGTTTTTCCAGTTCAGCTTTCAGTATTCGTTTTTTATCATAATTACGGTCAATGGGAAAATATGTATTAAATTTCTACACACGTCAAAACAAGAAGAAATGATTAAATGAAACATAGATTAAAAATTTGTATGGCGGTTGAAAAAAATATTTATTTTTTGAACGCTACCCTACTACGTCCGAACTTAATCCGATCCGAAGCAATGAAAATATTTTTCGAATTTAGTACTTATTTAAGCGCTTTATCTGCATTCTGTCCGAAATTTCGAGTCAAGACTTGGATTTTCACGGTTTTAATGTGTGTTTCATATGATTCCTTCATGTTACGTTTTTTCGAGTTAGGTAACTATTGTACTTTACTTTCGTTTGCGTTATTACGTTTGGTTCATCAGACCAGGCAAGTTTAAAAAAAATAGCTATTAGCAAGCTATGATCTCGAGTCATAAAACATTATTTTATCTTTATTATAGTTTTTTTTTAATTCATATAGATATTAAATCTACGTAGAATACCGTCTTATAGGTACATGACTTTTGAAATAAGTGGACATAATTGTGTCTACTTTCAAAATTACTTAAAAATCAATAAAGATTAAAATATCGACCTTCGCTTTCCAGAGCAAATTATGTCCTTTATTTTCGAAGTTAGAGAAAGCATTTTCTGCCTACGTTCGTTTACTACCATACCGAAGCATTACCTATTCTCGAATTTTGGTAGATAGCAATTAGCAACTTTCCAGTGTTGAGTTCACCAATAAGACGTCCATGACCAACGAGAGTTATTAACATTAACCATTATATTAGTATATAATAGTAGTAGTAAGTATATAACTATATTCTATGCATTAACATAGGAAATATTTTCTATCTCAATGGATATTAACACAATTTAAGCAGAGAGCTGTCAAAATGTAGGTGTCAATGTCAACTCACAACTGTTTTGTATGTCATTGTATTTTTATGTAGGTACCTATAGTTCGTTCCTTAATTAGAGACAACAATTTGACAACAGCAAATGTCAAACTACAAAATAATGTGGCCAGATTTTTTAACATAGTGATGGGCCCGAGTACGATGTTTTAAATAAAATACCGATACCGTTTTTTATAAAATACCCTGAGCAAAATAAAACAAAGTTGCGGTGATGTTTTTTGTAGTTTAGTCGAGTTAATAATAATAATTTAAAATAAAAATGCGAAATCCAAGACTGGCTAAAAGAAAAACATTATATTTGAGGAACCTATGCTAAAAGCCGAGCTGTTGGAGATTTTCCGGAAAGAGAAGAGTAATTATGAATGATACGTCGTGGACTAATGGCTGCTAAAAGGGGGGTCACTATTTTACTTATGCCTCCTTCCCATTGTGATTTTAACCCGACTGAGTTAGTATGGGCACAGGAAGGTACCAGGGAAAGTAGCTAAAAATAATAAAGCTTTTAAAATGCACGAAGTCCAGAATTTAATTTCGGTCTTTCGGTCAATACCGGTCGCGGGACTTCACTATTTAATAAATGGAAAAAACTTGCAACACTCGAAATGTCAAATCGTTGTCTCTAATTATGGAACGAACTATATGTATTTTCATATTTTGAAGTGCGCTCCATGTTTGTGATTTTATTCATTAAATCCTATTCTAATTAAAATCTGTTGTTATTATACAGACAGACAAGTAACAATAAAATTTAACTAATTGATTTTAAAATACTTGAATGCAGGTATTTTTGAGGATTATAATAAATAATTAAAGGTGTAACACATAAAACAACGAGACAAGGTGCAATACCTGATCAAAGTTTACAAAAATGGAACAAGATCAACGACATGATGTAATAGATCTGACTAATTTGACTGACTCTTTCTCGCACCCATCGAGTAACCAACAACAAGCTTCAAGTAATGCAGATGTGATTGAATTAGATAGGGATTCGGATGACTCGATATTTGATAGAGATCTTTCCTCCGACGGCGAATATGTAGGTAAGTTTAACGTATTACCAGGATAGTAATTTATTCAACAAACCCCAACCTAACGCCAGCTTTCGCGCGTCTATTAATGTGTCTCGAATTACCACGATTGAAACTTAGGGTACTTCAGATTTTGTGGGTAGTCACTAGTAGGTACAAATAAAATTGTATTATCGATTAAAAATAGCGAGAATATGTTAATAAATTTTAACGAGAATATTTTATTTAATAATTTAAGCACACAGAAAAAAAAATTAGATACTTAGTATATTTATACAAATAATTTTATACCTACACACATTCAACAGGAAAATCAATAAAAAACACAAGACACAGTGTACAATCATAAAAAATCAACAGAAGAAAGCTTAAACTTAATAGTATGCACAAAGTGAACAAAAAAAAATGTGATACAAAATAAAAAGTATTAGATTGGACAATTTCATGGTGGGCCTATCTCAATCACACCTCAAGTAAGTGTGATTGAGATAGGGCTTCAGGAGGCCAAGCTAAATTAAACCGATTACAAAGATAGGAAGTATAGGCAGAATTTTTGGGAATATTGTAAAGGAGAAATAAAATCCGAGAAGTCTTTATTAAGTAATTAATTTTGGTCTACTACATGTATCTTTTTTTCATACTACCCTCTCATAGTCATGAATTCTATACTATACTTTGATATCTTTTAATTCATCAAACCCCAAGCAAACACCAGTGTTTGCATACCTATTGTGTCTTGAATAAATTCAATCATAGGATTGAAAGCTTAAATAATTATTGCTGTTATAATTGTGGACCAGGATAGGATCACACCAACCATCATGATTCTGTAACAAAAAATAAAACTGAATAGTTTAATTTGTGTGAAATAAAATGTGTCCGTTACCCAGGCCAGATGTTGTCGACAATGGTCATTTGAATCTTATAGATAATTAGTTGTGGGGCTTCTGTAATTGTTGCGCACATTTTTAAATTTGTTGCGCTTATAGTTTTTTAATTATTTCACAAAAACATTTCCTGCTGGCGTAACGTCACCACAGCCAGACCTTTTTCTTTCTAATGGGAATATTTAAATAAATATTAGCTATAAAATTAGTTGTCTAGATAAAGTAATTGTTGTGCCTTATTTTGTATTTGTTCTTTCTTCGGTTGCGAAGTTATTCGAGATTTTGCTGCGGTAACGTTTTTGGTTTTGCTAGATCTTTGAAATGGTTAAGCGAATTCTTATCATATTTTGTACACGACTTCCGAGGACTTAGTTTAAATTTGTTGTGCAATAACAAAACCAAAATAATGCATATTTTAAAGGTTTTTTCATTAAATAGAAAAACACTTCAATTGGCCCCAGCACTCTCAATAAGAAGTCTAAAGACTTACTATAAACGTAATTTTAAAGCTTGTAACTGCCTTCAAATGTATGTGAAGTTTCATTAGTATCCCGTAAGTATTTAACAAGTTATGATGATATTCAGTTCTTCACGAGCACGGTCTTAATGCACGCGGTGTTATTTGGCCACTGGATTGGATATATGAACTGAATGTTATGTCAATAATTAGTAGTTTAGATCAGTTGTATATCAGTAAAATTTCAGCTCAATACATTGGATAATTAATGAGATAATACTATTAAAGTCATTAGGAAGTGAATGACCGTGGTAAGCCGACCAAGTTTAGGTGGTTACGAAAAAGCGAAAACGCAGAACATTGTACTATCTTTTGAAATGATTAGTATAATACACCTTACAATTTTGGTACAGACGCGTACACTGTTAAATACCTATGTAATAATAATATGAAAGAAAACATTATCTTCCAGTTTCACAAAATTATCAAAAATCACCGCTAGAGCATGCCGTTCGGTAGGTCGCAGGAGGAGTGGGGTGAAGGGGTAATACATTGTTTGCATAACGCACTCAGTCTTGCCAGAAGGTTACTTTTGTAACCTTTTAGATGATTTTTGAACTGCATTTTGAATTAGAAATGACAAGGACGGGTGATGTTTAATCGGTTGCTAAGCAACACAAGTTTTTATAAGTAAGGGAGTAAAAGTTCAATTGAAATGATTATTTTACCTTTCAATAAAAAATCTTGAATAATCATGTAGTTTTTTTAAAACTTTTGTACATGTCTGTACTAAATTTATAACACTATCCTACATATTTTAGAAGGTACCATAATGTTCTGCGTTTTCGCTTTTTCGTAACCACCTAAACTTGGTCGGCTTACCACGGTCATTCACTTCCTAATGACTTTAATAGTATTATCTCATTAATTATCCAATGTATTGAGCTGAAATTTTACTGATATACAACTGATCTAAACTACTAATTATTGACATAACATTCAGTTCATATATCCAATCCAGTGGCCAAATAACACCGCGTGCATTAAGACCGTGCTCGTGAAGAACTGAATATCATCATAACTTGTTAAATACTTACGGGATACTAATGAAACTTCGCATACATTTGAAGGCAGTTACAAGCTTTAAAATTACGTTTATAGTAAGTCTTTAGACTTCTTATTGAGAGTGCTGGGGCCAATTGAAGTGTTTTTCTATTTAATGAAAAAACCTTTAAAATATGCATTATTTTGGTTTTGTTATTGCACAACAAATTTAAACTAAGTCCTCGGAAGTCGTGTACAAAATATGATAAGAATCCGCTTAACCATTTCAAAGATCTAGCAAAACCAAAAACGTTACCGCAGCAAAATCTCGAATAACTTCGCAACCGAAGAAAGAACAAATACAAAATAAGGCACAACATTTACTTTATCTAGACAACTAATTTTATAGCTAATATTTATTTAAATATTCCCATTACAAAGAAAAAGGTCTGGCTGTGGTGACGTTACGCCAGCAGGAAATGTTTTTGTAAAATAATTAAAAAACTTTAAGCGCAACAAATTTAAAAATGTGCGCAACAATTACAGAAGCCCCACAACTAATTATCTATAAGATTCAAATGACCATTGTCGACAACATCTGGCCTGGGGAACGGACACAAATAAAATATCAATAATATAATTTTATTTATGTATTGAAATTTAAACTAATTAAAATTAATTATTGAAATTCAAACTGTCTACCTCATTGGGTAAAAGCCTCCTGGACTCAGGTGATTTCAGGTTTAATTCCCTGCACAAAGTGTTGTTACACTATCAATTTTTTTAGTTATTATAAAATCAATGTTTATCTGTAGATAGAAAGTATAATTTAATAATAATAAAACATTACATGCAAGTTCAAATAATTATGTATCACTATTTTATTGATAGGACACTTTTCTGTGTCAATGTACAAAAATAACATTAGTATTAAAGCCCACTGACATTTAAAACTACAAAGGGTTGATTTTTCTATGGTTAGATAAAAGTTATAATTATGATGTTGACGCGTCAGAATGTTTATGTTTGAAACATTTTTCTGACTATTGACGGCCCTTAAAATGTAATACTATTTAACTTACTTTACAGAACAGGAAATATCAATGGAAGAAATGATCAATCTAGATATTTATAAAAATCCAAAGCAGAGAGTGGCAAAACTAAAAGCAACTATAAAAAGAAAGTTTAGAGAGTATGACCAAAGAATGGAAAGATTAGAAAAGCTAAAGCGAGAACAGATTAAGCAAAAAGAAGAAAAGGAAAAGGAGAGACTAAAAAAAATAAAACAAACTGTAAGGGAAAAATGTCGTGCAATGAGAAAAAAGAGGGACAAAGTAAGTGAAAGTTGATTTTTATTTGTTTCATTTTTATATTAGATAAAAGTTTATAAATAAATAAATGCTGTACCTCAGATAACCCTAGGAAAGGTAACCATCACTATCTACAGGCTGTACATACAAATTGGGCTCACATTTGTACGAGCTGATTCTGTCAGAAGTATCTAAGTATAGTTTATTTATATTTTACTGGCGACCTAGCTACTCACGGGTGCAATGCTGATACTTAATTTATCCACTATTTAATGGATATTATTATACATATGAATCTTCCTCTTCAATCACTATCTATTAAAAAAGTTTTAAATATTTAAGCATGTACATTAGGATATAGGGACAGAGAAAGCGACTTTGTTTAATACAATGTTATATTATATTAAATAATCCAAACTCGAATTATATTTTATTTATAACTAGCAGCCCGCCCCCGCTTCGCACGGGTCCAACAATCTCGCTACCAAAGGGTCACTTTTTCCTAACCTTCTACTCCACTTTTCTAATATTTTCTTTGATAAGAACCTTCTCCTGATAATAACAAACACAACAATAAAAGAATTAGCAAAATTGGTCCAGGCGTTGTTGAGTTATGCGCTTACCAACACATTTTGCGATCCATTTTTATATATAAGATTGCCAAAAAAAAACTAAATTTATTCATTCAATTGTTTTTTTGTTACAGTGTGCAGTGTGTAATAGTATACCAAAAGAAACTACATTTGGTACTTGTCCTATCTGTTTGGATGAGTTAGGGGACGAACCAATGGCTTCAACAATATGTGGGCATGTGTTTTGCATAGATTGTATACATAAATATCTTAAGCATGAACCAAAATGCCCCACTTGCAGAAAAGATTTAAAAGGATCTAAAGTTTACCATCCACTCTATTTAAGCCAAGGAACATAAAGACAGTATTATTATCTTAGATCTTAAGAAATCTGATACAGAATTAAATATTGGTTGTTTTAATTTGCAGAAGATTGATCAATATAACAGAACAAAATGATAAGTGCTATGCAACCATTGTTTATTGTGTCCTAAAAAATCAATTCATGAGTTTATTTACTCATGATCATACTACTAGGTGGAATTAAAAAATAAATTTATCGTTTTTTTTTTGTAACAAATACAACACTGTAGGCTTTCAATATGACTTGTAAGTAATTCTGTAGATCAAAGCGTTTAAAACAACCAATACATAAAGCCTGAGAAAAAGTTATTTTTTGCCAGTGCAGTATTAGTTATGCATTTATTAAAAAACATTGTTAGATATAACTGAAAACACAAGTCTCGGTACAGGTCTTGATGATCTTAAATCGTAATTGTAGGGTAGATGAGTAAATACTGCATAGTCGAAATGTAAAATTTAGTCATTATTTAATGTAAAGTACAGTCCATACCATTTTTCCGATTCGGCGATGCAGAATGCAGTATTTATTTTCCCATTATGACTTACAATTTAATTCCCTCGTTTGCGCGGGGTTTAATTATTTAATCATTGATACTTTTGAGTAACTAAAAGGCGAAATTATACATTTCGCCTTTCAGTAATTGTTTTTTTTTTTCTTTAGCATTTTTTTATTATATTAAGTTAAATCTCAAATAGGTAATATTGACTGGTAATATGGTATTGAGTCGAAGTTTTCTAGTCTCTCTTTATAGTCTTTAGGTATTTATAGCGCCTATACAATTGACCTGCCTAAACCTAGAGATAATTTTGACCAGTAATATTTCTGTTATTTATAATTTTACATATGAATGACAATAAAAACTGGAATGTATAAATTTGCCAACAAAGTAACAAACAACAGATATGGTTCTACTGTACTAAAAAATATGGAAGTTTTTTTCTTAACATGCCTAGGTATTCTATTTAATCAATTAAATTTACTAAAGATGAGACAGTTACAAAAATAGAGGCACACATGTGAAATGTGTTTCAGTTTTATCTCTGTAGTCATTCATGTAAAAATACATTAACATCTATTATTTCTTCAAAATTATATTTGACTTGATGGCAAAGCCATTGAATTGTTTGAATTTGATTCGTAGATGTCGTAATTTTGTTTGATTGTGATAAATGTTATAGTGGTACTACTGCTGAATGTTGTAATTAAGGATTACAATGTAATTAGTTTAAAGGATTCCATTTTGTCCAGTTCCAGTTCACATTTCCATTGTCTATGTTCAGGGTCTATGATGAATGAAAAAATCATTAGAATTGACTTATTTTGACACTAAGAATCATTAAAATTCTTAGAATTTATGTTTTGTAACTATATCCGAGAATACTCATAATGTAGGTAATTTAAAATATTTATCTAGTGTAAGTGGATGCATACTGTATTATATAATTATTTAATAGTGTTCGTATGTAAGAAGAACCAACAATGGGTCAATTCCGGTCTGGGTGTGATGTGTATTTTTGTAAACGAAACCATGACACAGAAGAAAATACTAGTGTAGGATTATAATATTACTTTAAAAAAAAATTAATTTTATACCAAAATTTCCCGTGGAAGAGAAAGGCGCGGTGAGAATGGTGCATATAGCTCTGCTGATCTCCATGACAATGGAATGTCCATATAATTAGTTTAGTTTGAATATGTCAAAATAATTATCAAAGGAAAGAATATATTGAAAAGTTGTGCTTTGGTGTTGCCAACGGGCAATTTAGATTTTGCTAGATTCAATGATTTAATTATAAGTACCTATTTATTCCTTGTAAGGTTTATTATTAATTTGTACCTTTTTATATGTATACCAATGGTACCGTTGCCTTAAGACAGTGCTAACCGTAACAGTACTTTTAAGGTGGATTTAGTGGTAGAGGTCACTCTCTTTCTGAGTAGTTAGTAGGTATTTTAGGTATCAGATTGTGTGAATTTCACGACATCTTCGTAATATGCACAAACTTATTCACTTACAATATTAAATATTATGTTTCCATACATTGTAAAATAGACCTCAAGATTTTCTTTGCATTCATTCATAGGTAATCATAGAAATTAATAAAGACTGATTGCAGCTGAATAACTTTTATTCATTTTGTACAAGATTCTTAAAATTCAAATAGAGATAACGGTAATTACAAACCTAATCAGTCATGGTACACGGGACGAAATTGCTTATAAGTAGTCACACAAGAATAGCTTATTCCTATCAGTTAATTGATTACCGGCGACTATATTCATTGTTGGTTGCACTAGGTAAAATTTAAACCTGCGATTATTGTCTTTTGCGCCTTTATTGAATACAACAGATAATTATATATGAAACACACACATATCTTGCGTAGAGCCTTTTGTCAACACCATTATATAAGTTGGCTAGCTAGCTTTATGCCAAACTACAGGCGGACCATTCATATAACAAAAAAATATTGAATATCGAATCTCAATCCAATTAGTCTATACCTACAGAATTTGTACCGCAGTCAAATTATAATATAGGCCCTGCCTCTATAATACTATTCAATAATTACATAAAACAGATTTTTTAAATACTTAGTAAAAGTAACAACATTACAACTTAGTCTCTATATTTAAAATAACGTAGTCGTTCACTTATTTTATTTTATAACAAAAACCTATTCTTGTAATTGTGTTAGTGAGATAAAACTAAGGATATATAACATAAAATACTAAATAATAACGAGTCTGCACTGCAGATGGTGGAGTTTCTTTTTTAACTTATTTGTTTAACTACGTTTCAAGACTTGCCTCATTTGCTTTGATTGTTTTTCATCAGAAAAGCCATACCATGAACTCTAAAATGCTTAGCTAAATCTTCTGGCTCCTTAAAGTCTTCTCTACAAATATTACACTGATTTTCCCGAAGAGGTTCATTAGAAATAATATCGCTACTTTGATATTTTATCAAAGCATTTTCATTGTAACACTGGTTTTCTTTTATATACTTTTCAATATCTAAGATATTATGTTCCAACAACAAGTGCTTGGAAAATGAAGGCTTGACAACAAAACTTTGTCCGCATTCCATACATTGATATGCCATGCACGAGTCTCTATGTGTTATCAAATGTTTTTCAAATAATTGTTTATGCTCAAAGTTATTTCCGCAGATTTTGCAGATGTAACATAAAGAAACAGGAGGTGTGTCACATGTTATGGTTTCGTCATGCGGTTTTTTATTCGGTTCATAACAATTATTGAGTTCAAGAGGATCTCTTATAATTTTAATACGTTGGCGTTTCCCTTTTCTTTTAGATACTTTATTATCAATCGTTTTTCTAATTTTACCTTTGCGTAAAACGTTAGTGGTTTGAGCACCATATTTATTTACATCTATTCTGGTGAGTACAATTTTGGCATTCAAACATTTTTCTGTTTTATGCAGTGCAGCGTAATGCTTTTTTATCTCATTCGGATTATCTGTAATATGCTCATAACACAAATGACATTTGACACTGTCACTCTTTTTGTTTTGAGAAGTTGTATCTGAAGTATCATCCAATTCAGTAGAACATTCAAATGTGGAAGTACATTTGTAAGGGCATTCGCTGGGCAGACTATGTATTTCGCTATATTGACATCTATAGGTGAAACTTCTTTGACATTGATCACACCTTTTTACGACACGGTATACTCTTTTTAGCTTACCAGTATCTTTTAAAGACTCAATTTCCGACATTAAATTTTTAACTGCATTTTGTATTATGATATTTTTGTTGTGTTTTTCTAGGAAATGCAGCAGTAGAACGGATACTTCTCTAAAGATGGAACCACAAGACCAACACGGATAGAAGACAAAAATTTTGTGACTTTTTATGTGAGTCTCTATATGACTCTGCAAGACAAATTTTCCAGGACATAACTCGCACTTGTAGAATATGAGGGGCTTTATATTATCAACCTTATGAGTCTTGAAATGGCTTTGCATACTCACTTCACTGAAACAAGCAACAACGCAGAAGGGGCACTTGAAAACTTTTTTCATGTGAATAGTTTTCATGTGTTCTCTTAAATCGTTAGGATGGAAACAGATGCGACAATTAGCTGCACCACATTTTAGTCTTGCGGTTGCTCTCATCATTTTAAAACCCTCACAATCGTGGTTGTAAGGATAATTAATATTTTTGTTGCCTAGGGCTGAACCACATTCAGGGCAGAAATAAAGGGGGCATTTTAAATGTAAACGTAAATGTGCTTTAAGAGCACAAGTGGTTGGCAGAGCAAACAAACATACAGGGCATGAAAAAACTTCGTTAGAAAACTGCATATAGTGACTTGCCCGATCTTTAGGAGCAGAAGCTTGTGAATTAGATAAGTTTTCTTTACATTCTAAACAAATCACTTGGTTATGCGCATTCTCTAGGTTTGGTTTTTTTGTTCCACTCTCTCCAGTTATTATACAATCATCGTTTGGAGGTATTTGGCCGACTAGTGTTAGTTTGCTGGTTGATGTTACTTGATTGGTTGGAATGAGTTGGTTGCTTTGTGTTGGCTTATTAGCTGGTACTGCAATCTTCATGTTGTAAAGATTTAACGGTAAGGGTTCAACGTTTAAGTCAGTGACGTTGATAGTCGCAGTTCTAACAACGTGAGATCTTATATGGAACAGTAAATTACATCTGTTATAAAACGTCATTGTTTGATCACAGTGGCGACACACATATGTAATTTTAACAGACTTTCGTGTGACGTGATCGTGTAAACTGGACTCGAAGATAAATCTGTGGAAGAATAATATAAAGTTAATTTCAAATAAGCATGAATGTTATATGTAGGTATGCTAACCTAAGTATGACAAAGTATTGTACCTAACTAATTCTGTTTAATAAAAAGAAGAGGCACTAAAGTGGAAGTAACAGCGTTCCAAGATCCAAGCGATGATGGTTCTGTAAAAAAAAATGCTTGCCCCTGCGTAAGTACCTAAATGTGGAAGAGTTATGCTTCGGTATGAATGGGCCGGCTCGGCCGGAGAGACAGGCGGCCATATAGAAAACCGGCTTGTGTCTCTAGTAACTGTTATGGCAAAATACAACGTAACGCTGCCGCAACAGGCCCTGTCCTGCCCCACCATACCCAAATCCTCTAATCCCCGACCCCTAAGGGTGCAGTTCCATTGAGGCGGAGCGGAGAAGAGCTGTGCCGCGATTCACCAATCACATGGCTTGAAATCCACATCTCTAATGTCTCTATCTCGAATGTGGATACCAAGCCATGTGATTGGTGAATCGCGGTACTTACAGCTCTTTTCCTCTCCGCCTAAAAGGCCGACAACACACTAATAAGTCCTCTGGTTTTGCCGGAATATCCAAGCGCGGCACTGATCGCTTGCCATAAGATACTAGGTACATTTTTTATTTTGTAATGAGCAGGCATTTGGCCGTTCTCACACCTGGTGGTAAGGGATGATGCGACCTTCGTCTTCTCGCAAGAAATTTTTTTTCTTGGGGCTAGGCTGGTAATTTCCACTTTGATTGTGTGGAATAATTAACGCATGAACTGTGGTTTGTAAGTGGCGGCGCGATGGCAGAGATTTTACAACATCGACACACAAGACTGGGCAGTATGTAGGTATTTAAGTAAGTAATCTTTTATTAGACCTCAATTAATTTACAAAATTCAAGATAAGGTACCTACCTACAGTACAAAACAGAACATAAAACAGTAAACCTTCTTAAATCTTGTTTTAAAGATTTTCATATTATTAAACTATTTTTTATTTATTTATTTCAGGCACAGAAGGCCCATATACAATACTATATAAACACCTATAATGCTTATAGGATAGTTACCTATTATAAAAGTTACAAATTTTATTACCTTTACAATTATTAACAAGTGTTCCAAGACACTCTCCCAAATACTATTCCATAATGTGAAAATTAATTTTAATTTTCAATAATGAAACACTACCAACTAACACAAAACACTACAAAAAACAAAACAAATTAGTTAAGTACTTACTTGTCACCACAATCGGTACATGGGTATATTTTGTGTCCATTCACAGGTACTGGGATGACATAATTAGGCAATGCCTTTGTAAATAAGAGAGTTTTAACACTCAGTTTATCATTCATATTCTCCATGGCTATGTGTATCTGAAACAAAAAAAAATAAATGATTAATGGTTTGTCGCATAACTTCAATATCCAACAGAAAAATATCAACTAGTTACCTAGATACTTTAATAATAAATGTTATATTATTACATGTATCTGCAATACACCCATCCTCTACATGGAAAACATAGAATTACTAATGAAAAGTGTGTGTTACATTTAATATAATAAGTAATATACACTTGTGCCTACCTTTGGGGAACAAAAGTTTTAGTGCTATGTCATGCTTTATATTATGTACCTACCAAATTCTTTTAACCATATATCGAATTTTATTTATTAGATTCATAAAAGGTCTTTAGAAATTCTAAAAATAGATGCTTTGATTAATCAATCCCAAATAATGTACAAAACAATAATAAGTTACTATTCTAAATAGTGAAATGTCCAGTTCAACTTGTAATGTAGAGCTAATAGTGCATATTAAAACTTGAGTTTGTTGTACACTATAGGTACCAAAGTAGATGGTACCTAACTATGTTCTGGTCATTAAAATAGAATTGTGATACGACCAGGAATCAATAGTAAAAAACGAGCAATGGTCTTATCGTATTAAGTCTTAATGCTAAATGTATTTTATTTATATCAATATATAAGATAGTTACTGCTGTATTCACGTTTAACTATATTATGATATCGCCGAGTATATAAACCTGCGCAAAACTGAACGATTCAAACATGGCAATACCCCATGCAAGCAGGTTACAGTAATAGAATAAATTTTGAATTACGCGCCTCACAAACATTTTTAGAACTGCAATGCTATTAATTAAATAGCTGAAAAACATACCTCTGATCGTTTAATTCGTATTTTCTAAATTATGAACGACAGCTGACCATTTTTATTTACTTGACAGAAAAAAGAGGACGCCCTCTGTCGCATATCAGACTTAAGAAAGTATCGCCAGCTGTGAAAAAGTTTTTGTGTTGCCAGTGTGTCAGAATTCGTTTCCAAAATCAACACTTCGTTTAAATAACCATAATATGAGAAAGAGACTTAATAAATGGAATAACTTCTAAAATATGACGCGTAAATGTATGTTGTGTATTTATTTAATGAAATTAATAATAAAACAACAACAGTTGACTGCGTCGTGACGCGCATGCTACTCACTATAAAAGTCCCGTTGTGAATTGAAGCTAGTAGAGCTTATCTGAGTTATTCAAAGATTAAGTTTTTATTTTCAATAAATTCATCACGATAATAATATTTAAACATTTATAATATTTTACACAAAATTCGCGCTAGAAACAGAGCTACCTATTGATTTCACAGTGATTTCTGCCCTGTTATACCTGTCGTAATATTTAATTAAACTTGTGTAATGATTTTAGGAATATAATAGTATAAAATAGCATAACTATAGTCGGTACTAGAACCAAAACCAGATGGCGCTAGTAGTCTTTGTCACACTGTTAGTCAATATAAGTATTATTTAAGATTATATTGTTAATTAAATAATTAAATACTGTATTTCATTAAAATAGTTGATTTTGTTACGAAATATTAAATTAATGGAATTAATAATTTAAGAAGTTGTGAATTTGTTAAAGACGTCGTTACTGCATTCCGATTGGTTATTACCCACAATTTCCTGTTGGAGTGGGGATAATTATTTTAGCTCGACAGACATAGCTGGAGCGGGTTGTTGGACTTTTACCTTCGTGCAGTAAAGACGTCTGAATATTATTGTCAATAGTGGATTGGAACGTGCTCAGTGTAAACAGGTGTAATAAGACCTAGTGTTGAGAATAAATGGTTGAAACTACATTTGTTAATGTTTGATTTATAATATTTCAGAAGTGGGATATGCTCAGTTGAACGTATTTACTGAAATCAGGCTATGTGTGCCTCGGTAAATTAAGTGTAACAGGTTAGCCAGGTGTGCTAGACCAAGTGATTTATAGGCTATGTGTGCCTAAGATTGGCCAGGTGTGCCACAGATTTTAAGGGCCCAGTGAGCCACAGATTTTAAAGGCCAGGTGTGCCAAGTAGCAGCCAAGTGTGCTGAAGTTTTGAGGCTAGTTATGCCAAGCTGAGCCATAGGTGCTTGAGATAAATTATTGGACCAAGTGTGTCCATTACTGACTACAAGGCCTCACAAAAACGTAAGTACATAATGTTTAAATATGAATAAGGATATTGGACAGTACCATTCGTAAAATACTGTGGCTAGGTACGTCACAGGATTTGCAGTAGTGTAGAGCCATGTGTGCTAGTAGATTATGGTGTTTATGAGAAACATTAATACCATAGTTGTAGAACTCCTGAAAACTAAATTAAATCTTTACGAGCAATTTATTTAGTTCATTTCAGATGTATAATTCTCAGATATGATTTATTTAATGATATGCTAAAATGTATTTTTTTTTGAGAGATCATGGAATCCGACGGTGCCAGAACTCCCGATGAAGAACCTCCATATCGTAAAGCCAGACGGTCTGACGCAAATAAAGCAGTTTCAACAACTAGAAATGCTCGCATCAGGTCAAAACGTACAAGAAGACCGTCAAAGAGGAAGCGCTTGAGGTCTTCGTCAACATCTTCGTCATCGAGCTCATCTTCAGAGATGTCGAATACGTCTAGAAGGAAGAAGCATAAAAAAGGATCTAGCTGGACAACAAATGAGGTACTTGATCTTGTCAATACTTTACAAAAGGAAAGCAAGGCTGAGTCTCGTAGATTGAGTAACAATCATTTAAATAATGTTGTGCCGGAGTTCGATCCTTCGAGCAAATCTCAAAATGTCGATAGCTGGCTTAGAAAGGTGAACGAGTGTGCTACAATATACGAGTGGGACGAGAAGCAAACCATTCATTTTGCTTTGCAAAAACTCGCTGGTCTGGCCAAGAAATGGTTTGAAGCCCTTCCAAGTGTAGTTTTTAGCTGGTTGGAGTGGCAAACAAAATTAAAGAAAGCATTCCCGAGTGAGCAAAATTATGGTCGGCTTCTGGAAGAGATGTTATCCCGAACAACAAAAATCAATGAAAGTCTGCGAGAGTATTTTTACGATAAATTAATGCTTTTGAATCGATGTGAAATTAGTGGTAAGAAAGCCGTAGACTGCATTATTCATGGCATATACGATAAGTCTGTTAGGAATGGCGCTCAAGCATTAAATTGTAAAGAGCCTGAGGACTTGTTGAATTTTCTCAGTAGTCAACGTTCTTTATCGGAGCATATTCTTACAAATAGAAAGCGACCGGATCACCACCAACCACAATCCTCTAATTCTAGTCTTAATGATACTCCGTTGACTTGTTTTAACTGTCGCGCGAAAGGACATGCCTTTAACAAATGTCCTAAGCCACTAATAAGGTGTCCCAAATGTAATAGAGTGGGCCATAGTAGCGAAAATTGTAGACTTGAACCATTAGCCTGGCGTTCAGATTCCAAACCCAAGGATAACTCGGAACGTAAGACCTTAACTATATCTTCTTACAATAATAGTAACGAAAAATTTTACAAGAAAGTCGAAGTAAATAATCATAGTTTTATTGCGTTTATTGACTTTGGTAGTGAGTGTAGTTTGATGCGGGAAAGTGATGCTAATATTTTAAATCCATCGAAAATATTTGTTAACTTGCCGACTATTAAAGGC